CTTGTGTGTTGTATGGCATCCCTTTGATAGGCCGCTTCCCCCTTCCTGAAAATTGTATCTTTGTATATATTCAATAAAAAGGAAGTAGAATGAACAAGAAAAAGTAAAAAGATGCCGAGTCATTCCGTTGACCCCTGTCACGACCAGAAAGGTGTGGGTGGTTAGTGCGCTTCTTCTTGGTTGGTTTGGAATCAGGGTTTTTGCCAACTCCACTAGGTGAACTATCAGTGGTCCACCAACCCGGTTATAGTCCCGGATTTCGGCTTTTCGTCCTCTCACGTTGGTAGGAAAACATCGCCACGAGGAGGCAGTGAGCAGGGCTTCCTCAACAGAGGCTGTTTGAGACGCTTGGTCATATAGGGGCATTTCATGAGCTGCAAGGGAGGGGTGATCAGCCGCAACCCTAGACACCGCCCCCGACAATACTGAGGCTTTCGGAGGCACGAGAATATATATATATATGTATATATGAAGAATGGCAAACCTGACAATTATCGATCGACACTCAAAGAATTGTATCGTCATACATATGACTAGCTTTCACAAAATTTTACCGTTTAAAGCGAAGTGCGGCAAGGCTGCCTTGTATCCTCTATCCTCTTCAACTTTTCCAAAGAATATGTTCTGCCAAATGCTTTCTTGAGTTGAGTAACCGATAGAGTTGAATTCGCCTCTGGAAACAGATTTATTGACTTAAGATATGCCACTGACATCGCCTTGCAGGGTGACAATACAGGGGCAGTCAAGCACTCTTTAAACGACTTGCTAATCGAGGTGTCCAAGTCTTGTATGTTTTGCATCACCCAAATGCAAAAGGTTTGTGCAAGACTGAATCCAGTCTGTTCCGGCACTAACCTGTCGTGGTAAGCAGTTAGAAGTGTTCGAGAGCTTTCAGTACCTCGGGAACTCTATGAAAACTGAAATTCGTGGGAGGGGAGTGAGATCAAACCACGAATACTGAAAGCGCGAGCAGATCTTGCCAACACGAGATACCCCTTGGATCGTCATGACATCTGACTTTTGTTTAAGAGATGGGTGAACATCGCTGTGGTTTGTAGTGTTGTGCTCTACGGTTGCGGAACCTAGCCCGTCCGCGCTAAGGATGTTAATCGGCTTTCTGTATTCGACCTCTGATGCCTTCTAAGCATTGCTGGTGTCTGATGGGAACATGTTGCGAGCAATGGCTAAATTCGTCTTCGTGTGTTAGGTACCGATGATCGTTTTCTAAAGGAACTGATCCCTTACGTCATCTCTGATGAATTTATCAGCGTTAACCTGTCTGCCTATCGTCCACCTCTCCGCGATCCCTGTGCATGTGCTGCACAAAGCTGTGAGAACCGCTGCTGGGGTAAGATTATGGCCTGACGTATTGGTGTGAAGAAGTTAGCCCCAGCGTTGACTTTGATTGGTGCAGCTCGCCGTCCAGGTTGGGGCCCAAGAGAGAACAATTGTCGTTGGTTAGAGATGCTGAGATATTCGACTTAGAATAATATTCGGTGGTGTAAATGTTGAACGGTTTTTTTTAATTAAACGGCCCCCATAATAGAAAAAGAGACATTACATGGACACAGTAAAATTAATTATTCCGGTTATCTTCACTATTACTACCGCTTATGTAGACTATGTCTAAATATATTAACATCAAACTGTTTGAAACACTAACTGATGAGCACCATAATCACTAAGACATCCTGTTTCATTACGGAATTTGGCCGATTATGACATGAATTTGGAGTCATGAACCACATTTGGCTTCAAGAAGATGGGCGAAGTGTTAAACCGAGAAGAGTCTGCTATTGCTGTTTGCTAATTGGGTTTTCAAAGCGGAAAAGTATGATAAGTTCAAATGCATAAACTGTCTAAGAGATTTTCCGACACGAACATCCACAACTCACAGTGCCTAATCAATTTGATGGTACAACCACTTCATACAACTTGTTTTTCAGATATTTCTAGCGCTACTGGTACAACTATGGCATCTTATCAGATTGCACGCCACGCATCAACCGCTCATCAACATTTGAGCAAGCTGAAGACTGTCGCGGTGATTGGGAGCGGTCTCATGGGTTCTGGGATTGCACAAACTGCTGTTCAGTATGGATACTCGGTCAATTTGGTCGATTCCAACCAAAGTGCCATTACCAAAGCTACCTCCAAGATTAATAAGAATCTTACTCGACTGGGTGAAAAGAAGTTTGCAGAGAACAAGAGTGAAGCGCAAAAATACGTTGACTCGTGCATGTCAAATCTCCATAGTTTCTCTGATTTGGAGAAGGCAATTTCACAGGCTGACTTGATAATCGAAGCTATTGTGGAAACAATGGATGCAAAGCACAAATTGTTTCGGTATGTTGATCCCTCGATCGACTGGTTCACACTAAATTTTGTTGTTCTGAATTCGTTGTGACCTATTGATTATGGATAGTTATTTTTCTGTGTCACACCCTAGCTGGATAAATTGTGGACTTGATTGAAATGGTTACAAAATAACATGATGCAGCGGTCCTCGAGGAGTGATGGTTTTGTAATATGTCTAAACGTAGTAATCTCCCAACTTCCATGAAACTTCATTTGGCTATGGCAGACATTTCGGTCGTGTATACGCCACACAAGTGTTTGACCTACGTGTGACATCATTGGCCCTCAGTAGTTCTGCCTCACAAAAGTGACTGCACTGGGACCGAGTCTGCAAACCATTCCGCTCAATGATAAGGCGACCATTCATAACTTGTAATGCTCAGATGTTTTCTAAACGAGATTTACGCACCACTTGAGTCGGACTAGCTCTTGACCGTCTCCTGAAATGGCGACTATGTCCATTTTACCATTTGATCATGGTCCTTCTCTGAGGTTTCATGGTTTGGACCCATATCGACACCCTCAATCGATCGGGCTGTCAATGAAGTTCTGACTCACTGAGATACTTGAATTTTGTGAGTATCATGCTCTGTCTGCCAAATGCATTTGACTTCGAACCCGATCTCTTGCTCTTCTGGTCTACTATTTTACAGATCGTATTGGCTTTCCAACAGATTTCTTTCAAGACTGAAACAAATGGCTGGTTTAGTTGGGTTGATCAGTGTTGTGGGTTTATATGCAATCNGGGAGTGGAAGCACAAAGCTCACTAAAACCGGTAGGTAATGAGACTGTACGCAGTTTGTCTGACCTAGTCAATAAGTTTTCCCTGAACCACACTAAAGTGGGTTTCTAATAACGTGGTCCGTTTGGACTGTGGGATTGGAGCACCACGTTTCCGTTCGTCGAAAGTCATATCGGAATATACTAACATACAGTTGTGTACGATCTTGGAGTAGTCTTTCAAATTGTCTACGAGCATCACTAACTCACAGTGTTCGTTTATCCGAACGTGATCCGCGAATTCATTGGTCAGATTTCGTGAGAAAATGGAGACGACAGATATGCATTGTTCTTTGTCGATTTCATTTTCAGAACGCACATTTAATACATCATTAATTTGCAACGAAATACAGTTTTGTGCGTTCCCCAGGGTGTCTCGCGTGCTCATTTAGTATGGATTTGCTGAAGAGTGGTATCTCAAAGCGTTTTGCCCCCGTTTTGATTCAATGGTTGTATTGATTGAAAGTAAATTGTGAAACATCTTTGTGACCGCATTTGGGCATGTTTCATATTCGCTTACACCGTTTTGCATTTACATAGCGAGTTGGATCAGCGTGCTCGCGCTGACTGCTACTTGGCCTCAAACACATCATCATTATCGCTGAAGGAGATCAGTACTGTGATTAGTCGCAAAGAACGGTTTGGTGGATTGCACTTTTTCAATCCCGTTCCTGTACTCAAATTGGTCGAGGTTATACGCACAAGCGAAACTTCAGATGATACATTTCAGGTTCGTTGTTTTCTTTTGAATGCTACTCAACCGGAATTTGGTGATGCTGATACATTTATCACATTGCTGACTTGTCTGTGCTATTTTCAAATGGTCTTTCTATCATTTGGTCGTGTAAAACGTGTCCTAGGCTCCGTTGCCGTCTCTAGTTTAAACTGCGTTTTTCATTTATTATCTATTACTGAAACAGAGTTCTCTATCTTCACTTTTGCTCGCTACGTACCCTAAACGTTTACGCTTGAAAAGCGTGTTGCTCTTCTGTTAAGCTGCAGCAACGAATCGAAATTTCAGATTTCCATCGTTTTCTGTTGATGAATAAATCACAGGTCATCTGTGATATTCGATTTCTACTGTTTGAGCATATATCCAACGACTGTTCATTCATTCATTTTTCAATTTCAAGGTGTTGACGCAATTTGCTGCCTCGCTTGACAAGACTCCGGTCGCTTGTCGAGACACTCCAGGTTTCATCGTCAATCGACTTTTGATTCCGTATTTGATCGAAGCTGTCGCACTGGCAGAACGTGGTGATGCTTCTCTTTCTGATGTGGATGTGAGCATGAAACTGGGCGCCGGTTACCCGATGGGTCCGTTCGAGTTGTCCGATTTCATTGGGCTAGACACGGTCAAACTTGTGTGTGACAGTTTCACCTCGAAAATTCCCAATCATCCTAGTATGCGTTGTCCGCCAATGCTGGCTCGATTGGTTGCGGAAGGAAAGCTTGGTCGCAAGACCGGTGAAGGGTTCTTCAAATATGACAGCCAAGGGAATAAAGTGAACTAATTGGGCCTTTTAGCTCTATTCAATACGCTGTTTGCAAGCGCCGCACAAACCTTTGCTTTTAGTTCCTGTCTTTTAGAGAACTCCATCGATTCATTGATACCCTTTCCTACAAATGACCACTGAAAATCGGGTCATTTTTACTTTTATAGACTTTTGTGCCATTTTGTCGCTCTATTTTCTTCAACTCGCTCTTATTATTTTCAAGTTATTTGTCTATGTTTTAGTTTAACTTTTGTACTCTAACTGCCATCTACTTGGGTTCTTTTTGCAAGTATTTCATCACCGAAATGACTTGATAAATAAACGCTCAAAATACCTTCGTTCCGAAATTTTCGTGTGTTCTAACCGACAGGCATTCAATGATGTAGACTAAGTGGTGTGTGTAGTAGAAACAATTCCGGCATAATACCACGTCCAGTCTTACCCACTACGAAGTATTACGATTTTAATTGCACTAAACACGTTCAGGTAGATTCCAATTGAAATACTTCGACCGTCTATCAGCAGTATTCGACGTGATATTTGACGTTTGTTTATGCGTGATGAATGAAAGCCGGGCATATGTGACACGTATATGGGGATGAGATCCATGCTGGGTTTACCCGACAATTGACACGGCACAACAGACCGTATTGTTTTTAGATGGTACCACTGGTAATGGTTCAGATGTGTTGATGTTCGCTCATACTTCATTCGACACTCATCACATCATCCACCACGATAATGTTGCATAGTCACTGATCTAGTGTTGGAATGCATTGATCGCAAACACGGTTTTACGAAATTGTTAAGTTGCACAAATCGCCTCAGCAACATTCTCAGCATTGAGGAACCGTTCAGAAATTCTATTTTATGCGAAATGATTGGTGGGGAATACATAAGAGTTAGTTTTCTTAACCCGTCTGTGGAGCTTGGTGACCTGTTTACAAATGCGTCCTGATCAACGGGGTTGTCATTTTCGGTTGTTGTGAACTGACCATGCGTCCGAAAGGATGAGTTGATTAGCAACGCTCACGTTGAGTGTATAATGGTAAGCCGTGAATGTGTGTCATCAAGATGTGTTTGGTCATCGTGGACTGAGACAGTTGAGACCTGTGGCACATGATTCCACCTCGATCTCTCTCTTGGATATCACTTGTGATGGGTGAATGGAATCGATCAGACTATGATCTGGCTCAGGAGTGTGTGACAATTGACAAATAGACTTCTTCAATTTGTTTGTGTGCTTTACTTGGCGTCTCAGTGATACAACAGAAGCTGTGGCGAGGAGCACAAGGCGATATATCGAAATTCTTGAGTGCGTGTTACCTGACTGCTTGGACGAAACTGATCCACATGCGTACAAGTGGATTCTCTTGAAATGCTTGTTGTATTTTTTATTTATTTGAGGTGATTTTGTTCGCCGTTGAGTGATAGACAACCTAGACAACCTAGCATTCTATGAGCCGTAATGAAAGGGAATAAAACATGCAACCACAGTGCTATCTGAAGTATAGAATTTGGTCCCATCAGACAAATGTGAATGGGTTAAGCGCGTCTTTTGAATCACTCATGGGAGACATGTTGCTCCGTAATTGAAGCTGTCGTTGAAGTAAAAATACGAGAATGTTTTTTTCCCTCAATCCTTGAGTTGCAAGGTGAGGAGATTATTGTGCGAAATAATCGTTGCAATGGTGATAAAAAAGTTACAATTTATTATACCGTCATTTTCTATTTGCATGCCGGGTCCACCTCTTTGCCCACTTTGCATACTTTCTGTGTATGCTAATTATTTGTGATTGAGCGAAATAAGTTTTCCAGTTAGGTCGATTTCCCTACACTTGCCTAGTGGGAAAACCATGAATGATAAATGCATAAAATGTTTAATGCTATCAGAAATCTCCCATGTAATGGATCATCCTGTATGTATTTCATTCTTCCTGTTTGATGGATAAATAGTAAAAGGCGGAAGATTTTATTTTTTTGGAACGGAGGATAATATGATTAATTTTGATATGGTCTTTATTGTTCGACTCGGTGAAACAACTGCTCATATAAACTGACCAAACACTTCGTCGCGCAACACAATGCGAATTTCGTATATATGTTTCCCGAGCCCATTTTTTGGCTGTTTATAAAGACTGAGGAGTTCCGTGTGGTGGAAGATGTTTTTGTTAGGACGAAGATCAATGCTATTGGTCTCAAGATAATGATAGTGGCTGGTTCGTCGCTGAAATATGTGACACACCTCAGAGTTCCCTTTGATTTTTGCCACAGCTGGGCGTAACAGTAGAGAAATCACAGTATGCTTTTGGTTCCTCAAACATAGATTTTCTTAGTTGCTACTCTACAACTTCAATTATCGAGCTACCCAGGGATATAATACAAGCGGGGATAGATTACTACATTCAAACAACTTGAGCATTTCAACGGATTAGTCATTTTTTGTCTTCGTTTCATTCCGCAGTGAGCGCAGCTCATGTAGCCGCTCACTGAATTTCTGAGCCGTAAAACCAAGACGTGTTCACGCACAGTGCACGAAACTTCTTCAATTCGTTGAAACACGCAGTCAGTGACTTAGCCAACATAACACATCTAGAACTCTCTGCAAGATTGGCGTTAGTCCCTGTTGTACCCGATCCCAAAGTTGCTTACGTCCTTCAAAAGATGTTTCAACCGGATTATCAACTGATAGCTTCTTGATCCAAGAAGCTAAAACCGGTAGAGGCAAAGAACAACGCCTTTGGCAATTTGCCTCAGGAACAACCATAATAACCTAACCCACCGCTCCAGCAATGTAAGAGTATCGAGTAACTTTAATCAAGAGCCCTAGTGAGATTTTTCTGGTTCGTTACCAGTTACGACGGTCGTACATTTTTCCGTTAGAGGCAAACACTAAAACAGGATCATAAGTGAGACTACGATGGATTCTGTACCCATTTTACTCTACCCGCGCCTTGTCGATTAATCTCCATTTCAAATCGATTGGAACACTTTTGGGCTGTCAGTTCCCAAGTTTATTTTCGCGGCTGACCGTCAGGTGCTCTGCACTCCCGGAGGACTTCACGACAGCAAACATTGAATACACACGAATACAGCCTTGTTGAGTACTCTTCTTAGTGTTCCATGGGTGGAAAGGGTCCGGTGCTCTGTAGCAGCATTGATCACCTTCTCCACGCATGCATCATTCACACTCTGAGCCGTGTTATCGCATCAACCGGAATGATCACGGTGTCTGACTTCAAGTTCTTTACACTTATCATTGCGCTGGCTTCATTCTGTTCCAGTCTCAATAAAACCGTCGTCTAAGTCTGACGATATCTATAGTTCCCAGTTCGTGCGGACGATCTTTTGTTCGGAAGTAGTACTATCGAGATTCTGTTAGGACTTTGCTTAGATAAATCGAGGAGCAAGTTGTTTTTCGCGGTAATCTTCCTCCAATTTAATGTAATTGGCGGTGGTGGCCAAATGGTTAGGTCACCAACTAGTGACCTGGGTGTCCCGAGTTCAAATCGCTCCACCGCCGCCCGTCTTCCTTATATCTGTATTTTCCCCAGACAGCCTATGTATGGCAGAAGCCCGCTTCCCGAAAGTTGACTGTTCATTTGTATCTTCAAAGCGTTCACAATCGGCAACGAGAATTTGAGCCATCATCACGAATATCAAACCGGAGGGGGAACAATAGTCATAGTTTTTGGTTACCTTGTACAGTAACCAATCAACGAAATAATGTATACCTAAACAATCTTAGGGTAATTCAGCACGGCTGAATTTGCTCCGACAAGTAAGTTCCCAACGAATCCAGACAGATTCGTCCACTCCGTTTCTGAAATAAATCTAGAGAAAACCTCAGGAAGGTAGCAGAAATTCTGAATAATGAATTAAGATTCAAGAAAATGTCCACGAAAATGATAAGACAAATAGAGAAAGCCCCTTCTACGACAATACGAAAATTTAATCGAAAGGGCTCTATAGACACCGCCACGTTTGAACGGGTTCGTCCAACAGGGAATACGATTCCACGGTTGTATGGGCTGCTCAAATTAAATAAGAGTGGAATTACCCTCCGGCCAATCCTAGACATGTGAAACTTTCCTTACCATACGCTAGTCAAATGGTCTGCTCGTTTTCTGGAACTGGTGAGCGTGACCTTATTTCAGTATACAATCGATCTCATTGACGCCTTGAGTGGCCTAAATATCAAAGATAGCCACATGTTTTCGCTGGACGTCACACTTCTGTTCCTGAATGTTCCAATCGGTGAAACAAATGATTATCTGCTTACCTATATTGAAAGCAACGGGATTAGCGTAGGCCTACCGACAAACTACCTAAACTATTGTTATTCTTTGTGCTCACAATGTGCAATCCAAGTTCAATGAGGATATCTATCGCCAGAANGACGGTGTAGCAATGGGCCCCTGCATGCCGATGTTGCCATGTCTAGACCAGAAAACAGTCCGCTTAAACACATATCGAACGATGCGTACTGTTCAAAGATTACATAGACGATATTTTGTGCATGGTCGATTCTACACCGGACTGCCAACATATCTAGATAATTTCCATGCTCTGCATCGGAATTTGAAATTCACGATGAAAAATGAAGCAAACAATCAACTAGTGTATTTTGATGTTTGCCTCACTCGTTGTGATGACGAGTCCATCAGGCGGACAGCACACAGGAAGGCGACGTGGAATGGGCAATACATTCATTTCCGTAGCGTTGTACTCCTCAGTATGAAGAAGAATCTCATAAAGTGTTTGACCAATAGCGCTAGAAAAATTTGCATGAATGACCTGCTGGTTGAAGAACTCCAAAATGCGCGGAATATCTTCCTTCAGAATGGATACGAGGAAGGCTTGGTGGAATCTGTGCTGCAACGACAAGAAGCTTTTACCAAGAGAGTAATTGCTGAGAAGAAGTGTGTGTACATTTCTTTACCATTTAAAGGCAACACATTGGCAGAGATTGTGCACAGAAGACTATTAAATTCTATCAACAAAACGTTCTACATAGCTAAGCTCTAAACTCTATTCACATCTAGCCCGTTGGTGTATCTCCGGTTGAAGGATGGCGTGCCCGATTCTACTGCCTCTTTCTGTATTTACTCTGTCACTTGCTCTTTTGGGGCAAAGTATGTTAGCCACACGACCAGGAGTGTGTCCGAGAGCATCCGTGGGCATCACCCTGCGTGGTTGAGAAGTGGAGTAATTAAGTTAATTCCCGGAATATACCAGCGACACACATTGAATGAAAGACGCATTTTAGCGGAAAAGCTTTTTAAGTTGATCACAAGTGCGGCCGTGTCACACCTTGTCGGCACTAATCACATCGTAAACGTGACCGAAGCTTTCCGACCCCTGTAGCGAGTTAAAACAGGATGATCTAGACACGTGCGGTTTCGTATTCTAGCCACAGCGGAGGCTGTTTGCATCCGTCTTCACAACCTCCCTCTGTGGGCTCAGAGGCAATTTGTGCAAGCAGTCAAGCTCCCATGGCCGGATTGCTGTCAAGTGACCCGTCATGAAACACCAGAGCAAATGTTAATTGGGGACCAATTATGATACAGACTGTAGAATACTTTAATTACCGCTGAATTTATTACTCGCTAAGTCAAATGATGGTACTTTTTTCTCACGTCCATTATGCTATTCTTATACAAAGGATCAGCAATGCAAAAAGTCCGTTATTAAAGATTTTCCGAGTAAAAAAAATGGATTCACGTTGGAGGGACTGGAAAGGTACATAGAA